GTGAAGGGCGTCGTCACCTCGGTGGAGCCCAGCACGCCCACGGTCCTGAGGTGGGCCAGGTTGGCACAGGGGGGGCGGGAGGGTGGTGGGCGAGGAGTGAGTGGGGGAGTGGGGTGTGGTAGGGGGATGGCAGGGCGGCAGACGGGGCAGCGGGCGAGATGCGCCGCCGGGGTCAGGAACAAGAGTGAGCCTGCAGGTGGGTGGCTTAGGGGAAGGGAGGAGGTGGGAATGGGGGTGGGACGGCCGACTGGTCGGAGGCTCAGCGGGCAGGCCGGGGCGGGCAGGGGGGAGGTGGCTGCTGGGGCTGGGTAGGTGGATGGGGAGTGGGTGGCAGGTCGGTGGGTGGGTGGATAGTTGGGTTAGTGGGTGGACGGGTGGATGGTTAGGCCAGGTGGCGGGTGACTGGGTTAGGCGGTAGGTGGGTGGATGGTTAGGTTAGATGAGTGCGTGGGTGATGGTGGTAGGTGGCATGCCAGTGAACGGATGGATGGTTGGGCTAGGCGGGTGAGTAGGTGGATGGGCCGGAGAGGGGAAGGGAGAGGTTGGGCGGCTGAGTTAGCCAGATGGGTGAGTGATGGAGCAGGTGGGTGATTGGGTGGATAAGCAGATGGGGGCTCGGGTGGACAGTCCGTGCACTGGGGAGGGGTGCGTGGGTGGGAGCGTGTTTGTGGGGCTGGCCTGTGGAGAGGGCGTGCCTGGGGGGTGAGCAGAGCCTTCCTGGTCCCCAGCACTGAGCAAGGCCTGCAGGGGAGAAGGTGTCCCTCTTGCCTGGCAGAGTTCCACGTGTCTGAGGTGGCAGAGTCCCCACAGCCCCTCCTGTGCCCGAGCCCCCTCTGGGGCAGCCCCAAGGGCTGCGGGCAGAGCTGCTTTCCGGGGGTCCCCGTCCCTGCCCAGGGCCCTATTGGAGGCGGCCTGCTCTCCCCCAGTGCAGTGTCCATTTGTGAAAGCGCCCCTTGGCCACCATGAGTCGCGCCCACCCCACCACAGTTCCACTTGGGAGAATGACGGCATTGCTCCCTGGAAGCCCTGGCTTCGTACCACCTCCTGGGGCACTCACCACACGTGGGCGGGAGCACGGCGGGTCCCAGCAGGGTGGCCACACGTGTGTGGGGACACCCGGCGGCCGGTTAGAAAGCGCAGTGGGAAACGAGCCCTCACTGTGGCGGCTGCTGAGCAAGGGTAGAGCTAGCAGGAGGGGCGTCCCGGGAAGACGTGGGTTCCCAGGCCAGCTGGGCCCTGGCCTCGCGTGGAGCCGGGGCCTGGCTTCCCGGGGCTGCGTCCGGCCTGCTGTGGCCTGCCACCAGGCTGCTCCCTGCAGCACCCCCACCCACGCAGCCCGTGTGTGCCTCCTTGGTGTCCTGAGCAGGCCCAGAGGCCCTGCCTGCCCCTCCCCGGGAGACTTCCTCACCCCTGCCTCGGTTTCCTTGCTGTTCTCTCACGCCGCTTTGTTGACTTTGAGCAGCTGCACACTGCGCTAGGGTTGTAAGGTCTCTGTTGCGCGTGCGTAGTCTGTCTCTCCAGCTAGAAGGTAAGATGCTTGCGTCTGTGTTGTTGGCTGCTGCGTTCCCCTGGTAGGGCAGTGCCGGGCACCTGCCGGGTGCTCAGTCAAACACTTCGGAAGGATGGCGGAGCCATGCCACGCAGCCTCTCAGGTCGTAGGAGGGCAGGGGCATTCTGGGAGCGGCAGGGACAGTGGACGTCATCCAGGGCAGTGGGGGCTCGGGGAGGGTGGGGAGCGAGGGCCTGGCTCCCGCAGCTGCCTGACCCCTCTCCCCCCGCAGGTCCACCTCCACCTCCTCGCCTGTGCGCCCGGCTGCCACGTTCCCGCCCGCCACCCACTGCCCGCTGGGCAGCG